ATATATCATGTAATTAGGGTTGGGACAGTTGAAATTTTGAAATGAAAATTTTAACTTTGAAAGTTTCAAACTGGAAATATTTCATTTAGTTGGAAAAGTGAAATTTTTGAAAATTTTAAACAATCCGAAAATTTCAACATTGCCTGTGAAAGTTTCAGAAATTTCATTGAAAGTTTACTGAAAATTTCCCATAAATTTCACATGCGGCCTCCCCTGGGACCTTTAATAGTAATTTACAACAGATAAGGAATCGACCAATAAGAACGAGTTATCAAGCGTCTGGGCGTTTTTGTTTAATTCGGCTTGGATTTGAATACACTATAACTAATTATTGTTACTTATATGCATAAATTAATTTAAATAATTTAATTCAGTTACCAATTTAATTTGTAAATTAAATCAGACTTTAAAATTTTTTTAAAAGTCATGATTAGTTTAAACTTTTAATTTTGCTATAATTGCATCGGAAAACGGTTAAAAAATGCCTTTGGCTCATAAAATTTTGATGAAGTTTCTTCAATTTTCGTAAAATTTCGGTAAAATATTTAAAAATAATAAATTTATATAAATATAAAACTATGAAAGTGGCACAATCTCATTAGCTTACCAAAAAGTGCTATATCTCTTTTAGTTTTAGTAATTTTAAAAATATTTTAAAAGGAATCTCAAGAAATTTGTGGTAAACATAGGTACATGTAGGTATTTACTAGTTATATTATTGGTGCAGGGTTCCACAGAGGAGGTAAGAGAGGCAATTTGCCATGGTCCCCGAGTGGGTTTATTTCAATATTAATATATTACACTTAAAGTGATTGAAATTTATTGATAGTTTCAATAAATTTCATGAAATTTCAGAATTTAGGAAATTTTAATAAATTTCATAAATGTCATGAAAATTTCAAGTGAAATTTCAAGTACAAGGAAAAAGTGAAATTTTCCCAACCCTACATGTAATATAATATGATATCATTCATACAGATTATTAATTCAATGCTATAGCATATATTGTTTACAATATGGTCTATATTAATAGAGAGAATTGATGATACTTATGAATCATAAGTTATGATACTACCGGTTTACTATTTTTGGATGTGCATGCACTTCCTAAAATAGCAAACCGGTACTATCATGTTTTTATAATTTTTTATGATTTTGAATGTAGAAATGCATCTTTAATCCCGACGCATTCGCCATTTTTAAATATTTATTTAAATTTTATTATACCCTAAAATCTAGTGTTTATAACAGATTATTCGATAAGATAAAATAAAAGACAATTTATTGGGACCTTACTTTACTTTTGGAGACAATGGGGTAGTTAAATTTTTTCTGACCTATACTTTTTATGGTTTTATTCAAGGCGTTTTGTAATATTAAACATTTCTGTGAAATCAGAATTTCAATTGAGTTTACCGTTTTCGAGATATTTACAAAAAATATAAATTTTTATGACGTCACAAACCTCGCCATGTGACCAACATTCTAAGATGGTTGGTTGAAAATTACCCTGTTGTCAAGTTGTCTTGTTAATGATTTCATTCGGTTATGTCAGAAAATACCCGAAGAGGTTATGTACAAATACTGTCACTGTCAGTTGAGTAAAAGAAGAAGAAGAGGAGGTTAAAGAAAATTCTGAAATTAAAAGTTTTATTGATAGGTTTACACATTGAAACACCGTGTGAAACCTAATAAAATGTAATAAATAGGTACCTAATAACTGTCTAAAGCAGAGTTTAATATATTTCATAAAAAAAGTGGCAAAATAAAGCTGAAAATGAATGAAATAAATATACAAAAAATAACAGTAAATGTAAGTTAACAATGGTATTTATGATATTTGTGTATAGTTTTTATAAAACTTGCATCCCTGATGATGTAAGATTAAAAAAATGTATGACAAACTTTTGGAGTGTTCGAAAATACTATGCTCTAGAGTACATTTTTGTACTTTTCGACAATTCTGGTTTAAATATTGCTACAATAACGTACATGGTAGGTAAAGATAGTGCAGGGTCTACAAATAGACATTTTGATTAAAATTATTCAAACAGATGGTCACCAAATTCATTAAGTACCTATCTTCCTTATTACGAGGTATCATATTACTGTTTGATATTTTAGAGTCCAAGATGCTAAAAGAATATAAAGAACTAGGCATTATACTAATAAAATGCATTTACGACAAAATATGATTATAAATATAGTACTTTATTTGTTTAAAAGCTCCAATGTTCAATGTAACCAACCATTCCACAAGATTCCTCTGCTTTGGAGTCCGTTATCAATAATAGGTATCAATTACAAATAACATAACAATAACATTGATTTTCAAAAAACATAACCCGAAAAAAAGAAACGTCAAAAATTCAATTCTTCTTCTTCTTCTTAATTAAAATTATAGATCAAGTGGTTTTAAAACTAAAATATTATAACGTGGCGCCATCTATCGTAAGAATCTTAAACTAAACACACTGGCAACCAGTGTTACCAGATTCTGTCAAAAAAGGACCGTACGTTTCGTTCGAATTTACCTTAATTAGAAAATGACACAATGAAACAATGCAAATAAATGCAATTATGTCAAGTTGACGTTATTTAATATTGTCCATTAAGTCATTTTTGTAATTAAGGTAAATTCGAACGAAACGTACGGTCTTTTTTTGACAGAATCTGGTAACACTGCTGGCAACCATAGAAAAAGCTGGCAACGTTGTCAATAGCCTAGTGACGTAATTAGGAGATTTTTTTTTGTAAATATCTCGAAAACGGTAAACTCAATTGAAATTCCGATTTCACAGAAATGTTTAAAATTACAAAACGCCTTGAATAAAACCATAAAAAGTAAAAATTTAACTACCCCATTATTTATACAAAAAAAAGAAAGTGTACAACGTATATCAATTTTTAAATCTTTACTAAACACTTAATTTAGTTATCCATTACAATCAAATAAAGTATTTTCCTTTGTATTAACAGCCTCTATGGGAGTCATCAATATAAGGAATATGATATCAAGTATGAAGTGTTCGTTGTATTGATGTACCAGTTTCATAAAACCAATAAATTTGTCATTAAACAGTACCCTACTACTTTGCAGAAACAGGCAAAAAAACAAGTGATTTCTTTTAACGTCGAGACATCAAATGATTGCGTGGTATAAGGATTTATTCCTTTATTAAAACTTTTTTTTATTATTAAAATCTTACAAGAATAATTTAAAAGTTCACATTTATTGCGAGTATTTGTCACAGAAATCTACATAATAAAAAAATATTCTAAACCATCTTTGTTTTTTATAATACCTTTTTTCATAGAATTCAAATTCCCTTTGTTAAAGGTGGCGCATGTTAAGAAAATTTGTAAGTATTTTTTTTAATCCTGTGTATTTATTGTCTAAAACAAACCTTACTCAACCCAACTCTACTTAACTCGCATAAACAATACTTATTCCCACACATCTTTTTCTGTGAATATAAGGAAATTCCATTAGTTTGTCTAGGTAAGCTTATTTCTTTTGTTCAATTTTCGTAATTAATTTTTAGCCCACCTTAATACAGTGTGTCCCACAATGGTGTTGACAAAATGAAAATGTATGATCTACAGAACTCAAGGAATTCCAGAAAATTGTTAAAAAATCTACTTTTATTATTAAAAAAAATATAGTAGGTATAGCTACATATTTTCTAAATTACAAAATTTTTTAATAAAAAAGTGGGAGTTTAATTTTTAATCATCATGACAACAAACAACAATATTAGAAAGTGTTAAAATGAGAATTGACTAATTTTGTGACTTTATGCTAGAGTTTATTTATTTTATGTTAGACTAGACAGAAAATAATTCAGGGTGTCCATTAAGTAACGAATTCGTTTTAATACTGTTTTATATTGTTGTTTGTTGTCATGATGATTAAGAATTGAACTACCACTTTATTATTAGAGAATCTTCAAGAAAATATGTATCATCTTTATAAATATGTATCATCTTTATAAAGATATATCTTTTTAAATAATAAAGGTAGAATTTTTTAAGAATTTTCTGGGATTTATTGGGGTTTGTAGATCATACTCTTTTATTGCCACCATTGTGAGAATATGAAATTAGTCAGTATTAATAAAATATTGTTCATTAGTAGGTATTTAAATCTTTTATTAGTTCAAAATATTGCAGTGTTTACAATGTTGAACACGTCAAAAACAATACATAAATATTATAAAAAACTAAATATAAACAAATACAATAAATTCTCTTAACTTAGAAAAAAATCATCAACACAGTAATCACATCTGTTGACAAGATATGCAGCATATCATATGCTTTTAAAGAAGGTTTAAATTCCATTAAATTTCGGTCTTTAATTGTTTTTGGTAATTTATTAGAACCAGAGCAAAGTTTTGTATACTCTTGTAAACAGTGTGGATCCTGGTTTGAGTAATAAGTGCCAAATCTTGTTTTCTAGTAAAATATGAATGTTCTCTACTAGTGTTATTAAAAATAAAAAAGTTTTTTTTGTAAAAATTAAAGTTTCATATATATAAATATCTGGTAGCGTAAGTAAGTTTTGTTTTTTAAATATTTGCTTACAGGACTCATTTAATTCCAAATTAAAAATACATCTTATAATTTTTTTCTGAAAAGTAAACAAATTTTTGGTATGAGATGAATTCCCCCAAAAAATTATTCCATATTTTAAATTTGAGTAAACAAAAGCATAATATATATCGAGGGCGTCATATCAGAAGGGCGTAAGCGCCACTATGGTCGGATTTGGGTTTTTGGGTGTATGGGCTTATTGGTTCATACGCCTAAGTAAAATGGGTTGATATAGAGTGCTGATGTTCACGAATCTATACGCCCTTCTGATTTATCAAGTGGATTAATAAAATAAGCCCATACGCCCATTAAGGAGTAAGTAAAGATACTTATTGATTTTCTTTAAAACATTATCCGTTTGATTTTTCCATAACCATTTATTGTTCAAAGTAACGCCTAAAAATTTAATTGAGGTACCTACTTAACTCTATTCTACATATATTATTAATATTAATTTTGCTATTCGTGAACCCATAATCTCCAAACTTAATATACTGTGTTTTGCCTACATTTAACTCGAGGCCGTTGTCTTGAAACCACTGAAATATATTTTTTTGTGTTAAAACAATATTAGATATTAAATAACCTATTGTGGAAGATTTAAAAATTGCAGTAGTATCATCTGCATACATAAAAATATTATCATGACATTGAGGCAAATCATTTACATATAAGATAAACAGAAGAGGGCCAAGAATTGAACCCTGAGGAACTCCTTTTTTTAAATCCACTATATTGGAAGAAAATTCCAAACCATTTTCCGAAGATATTTTCACTATTTGTTTTCGGTTGGTCAGATATGATTCAAAATGCGTTAGCACTGTACCTCTTATACCATATCTAATTTTAACATCAATAGTTCTTTAACCATAGTATCAAAGGCTTTAGATAAGTCAAAAAAGGCAGCTACTGTCAGGGTTTTTCTATTCTAAAGGTCCATGATTCTATCAATAAGATTGAAAATTGCTAATTCCGTATTACTACCTTTAATAAAACCATATTGATGTTTAGAAATTATGGAATGTTTATTACAATATTTTATTAATCTTGTAGATATTGGTATTTCTAAAATTTTTGAAAAAATAGGTAATAAAGAAATAGGTTTATAGTTATTAACATCAGTTTCAGGACCTTTTTTATGCAAAACCCTGATAATAGCCAACTTTAGACTATTCGGAAAAATACCATTTTGAAAACAAAGATTTATAATATGGCTAAGAGGACTTGCTATTAAATGTGCGCATATTTTAATAATAGTTGTTGGAATTTCATCCAAACCAGTGGATTTTTTATTTTTTGAATTATTTATTATGTTATACACCTTAACAGCATTTGAGGGGTATAAAAACATATTTGAGTTAATGCTTGTAATGTTGTTGGCGTTAAGTTTTGGAGATGGCAATTTTAGAGTGTATATTAGCAAAAAATAAATTAAATTCATTAGCAACTTTCAATGGAAACTAAAGTTTTGTTTTTATTTATCATTCTCCACATTTGTTGCTGGTTGTTTGGAGCATTTTCTATAAGTTTTATAGGTATTATATTTAAGTTTAGCTTTTTTTAGTTTAAATTTTAAAGTCTTAGAAATTTCTTTATAATTATTATTTTAATATTTTGTTCCGAGTATATCCTTTTAAAATGCATACATGTAGTCTTTTTTATCAATATATTTAAAACAGAACTTAATAGCAAAGTGATCTGAAAGATTTGACTTAATTACTGAAGAGGAGAAATGGGACAAATGAATGTTTGTAAATATATTATCGATTTGTGTACTTGAAATATTTGTTACTTTTGTAGGCTCATTAATTGTTGATCTTAAGTTAAAAATAAATGTTAAATTAAAAAGGTTTTGCCTAAATACACAATCGTTATTCAAAAAATTGATATTAAAATCACCAAGAACTATAATGGATTCATTGTTTCTGGTGATTAAATTTAAAAAAATATACTCAAAACTTAAAAAAAAACTCCGAAAAATCAGCCGTTGGTGACCGGTACACACAAACAATAAACATATTATTATAATCCAAGCACTTTATAGCACAACACTCACACATTTTTTCTTTTGATTGCACTGAAACTTTTTCTATTTTAATATTTTCCTTTGCATATACAGGTCCCTCCATGAATAAAGATGGTTCGAAAAAATTCAGAAATGAGATTGAAGCTGTACATTTTTTTGTAATGTATGACTTCTTTTGAAATCCAAAGCTTTGAAAAACATACAACGTCTGGTTTTTCATTTTCCAGAAAAAGTTCTACTTTTTCCTGTTTATTATTTAGACTTTGAATATTTAAATGAATTATATTTAAGTTTTTATCAGTTAAATTATTATTATTACATATATTTTTACTATTCAATACTTGGTTGATTTTGGTTGCGAAAAAATGTTTTAAAATTTTAAGTTTTTTAATAAGGTTCCTTTCGGCCAAAATTTTGCATCTTTTATTTTGGATACATCCTCAAAATCCGATCCAACAGTAAAAGCAAAATTTTTATTTGGTAATTTATTTTGTAAATATTTTTTAATCGATTCTTTACTAGTGCCTTTTGCCCTATTTTCAACATACACCCAAGCGCGCCTTTTTACACCTGTTGATGTATTTTCAGAATTTTCATCTTGTTTTGCGGTTCCTCGTATAAATTTAGGTTTATAAATAGATTTAACTTCTTGTGTTGTATTCATTTTTTCTTTAATTGAAGACGTGGCGAAAGGATTGTCCTTGGTTTTTTGCAGGATTTGTGAATATTGCATTGGAACAATATTTTTACTTGTATTTAAATTATTTATTTTCTCTTTTAACAACTCATTTTTTTCTTCCATTTCTTGAACTTGACATATATGGCGTTTTCATTTTTTAGTTTTATTAATTTAAAGAACTTCCAAAACTATTTCATTTGCAATACAATATTTACAAACGAATAAATCATTATAAGACTCACCATTTTTTGCCGAGCAGTTTAAATGATAAGCCAATTGGCATAGTGAATTCGGTGATAAATCATCATTAATGGTTATATTTTAGTACGTTAAACAGTCTCATAGGCAACAAAAGTTTAATTGCGAGTCAATACATATATTTGAACATATATATCTATCGGTGCTTCTTTACCCACTTTCGGGATCGGCCTCCGGCGCTATAGGTTATACTTTACAAAATGTTAGTATCCAACCGAAGGAGTTTTAGGCCAAAGCCGATCTTCGGTTATTTTTTGATCTTTGCCAAACATTCGGCTTCGCCTAAGATGAAGGTTTAGATGATTTCTACTAGGAAATTTGTAGATTTACAGGCAGTCTTTTAAAAGTTCGGCTTTGGCTAAAATCTTCAGTTCAATTTTAACCCAAGGTGGCATTTTTGGCCGAAGACAAAGTTTCGGCCTGACATTACAAATTGTGTTTAATTAACCTGTTGGTAATTCACATTTTGCTCTTTGGCTGGCGACGCCATTGACAGCCTCAGAGTAACAATAATAAATAGGAAAAATTGAAATAACGTACAACACAAAAGTATTGTCTAGTTTTGGCCAATTTTTAGCCGAAACCAGCATTTTTGGCCGAAACTTTGGTGGGTCTCCACTTTTTTCATTTTATTTTTGTTAGATTTGGAAACATTTAGCATTTATTCCATTCACTTTGTAATTTATTTTTAATTTTTATATTTTACTACTTTTATATTTTGATTATTTTATTCTTTCTTTAATTATAATAATATTATAAATAATTATTTATTTCATATTTTTAAGATTTTACAGTTTTATGTTTTCATTTAACCAAAAAATAAAATAATTTCTGTGACGCCAAGATTTTTAAGTTTTTAATTCCTAATAATTATTATCTATAATTACCTACAATTTATTTTTTTATAATATGTATGTATTTAGTTTTTATTTAATTTTTTGTATAATAATTTAATATCCGTATTTTTTCTTAATGTTTCTATGATCCCCAGTTTCTTAAATTATTTTATTTTAAGTCTAGTTGTTTTATTTTTTTGGCGCACTCACCATTATTGTAAAAATCAGAACAAATAACTATATATACATTTTATAAGCACAGATACTTAACCTAACTAATTTAAGTATTAATTAAGCTAAATTTAGTTAAAGTTAAAGCATTAAACCATTTTATAACATAAACAATTATTATAAAATGTGTGTTGAAATTTTATAGTTCTATTTATATCCCAAACCGATTAAGATACTCTAGCAATAATTGCCATATTAAAAATATAAAAATATTTTTTTTAATCAATAAATAGATAAAAATATTTTTTTTAAATCAATTAAAATAGATCAAGTATAAATTTAAAATTAACAGATATATACAAAATATTAAAATTAGAAGAACACGTAAATACTATCAACTTTTTTATTTATTCAGTCCGATAAACAGCATATAATCAGAAACCCAGCAGGAAAGAGCAAGATAAGAACAAGCAACGTTCCAACTAAACAAAAAACAATTGATAAACCCCATAAAAGGTAAACAAAACACAGTAACCTTAGAAAATCGATCTAAAACCTAACCTAAAAACTCACCGTCTCTTTGTTGTTCCAAAGATTTTTGTGAATCACCCGTATCATCCATCTCCGCATAAAAAGACATAGTTGCCGAATTTTTATTTTTATTCCCCAACCCGTTTGTTACAAAAACATCGCCCATCTTAGGATTTCACACAGGAAACAGACAATCAAGTGGTTTAGCACTTACTGTAGCACACCTTGATGTATTATGTTAACCTACTCGATTAAATTCAACGCGATTCAACGTGAACACACAACAGAGAAATGTTTAGCCGCGCGAAATGCGATCGCAGTATATGGTTACTTCTCTCGCGGATATATTGATTTTGGCACCATGGACTGCTAAGTTTTATATAAGCGCACTACAACCTACTTTGCTTTTTCTTTTATTAATCGCGTACATAAGATAAGCGGTCTTTATTCCAAGCAAAATCGATTTACATATGAAATAGGTTTTCTATATTTAACAATGTTATAAACACGCAAGATAAGAAAGAGATATGTACGTTTTGTTTGGCGAGATTAGGATTTTGTTTACCTAAATAATCCTGTTATGAAAAAATTACGTAATAATATTTTCTTCAGTATATTTGGTAATACAATCATATTTATCTATTATATAAAATATAGATCTTTTTAACATTCTAAACCTTATTGACTTTTTATAAGAATATTTAACCATAACTAATTGTTACTAAAATCAAAATCACTATCATTGGAAACCTTGGTTTCCTGCCTAACACTCTCTGTATCGGTATCCAACATATCCATAACATTTCCAGGTTTATTTTCATCTTTTACACTTTCTGACTGTCCCTCATCATCTTGTATTACCTGTTGCTCACAACTAACATCATAAACAATGGGATGTCCATTTTCATCATACTGATGTTGAATAGGTTGACCGTTCTCGTCATACAGTATTTGACTATTGGGATCATACGGTTGTTGAATAGGTTGACCATTTTCATCAAACGCGATAGGTTGGCCATATTCATCATATTGAATTTGGTTGCCATATTGGTTATATTGTATGCTAGGATCGTAATTAATAGGTTCACCATTTTCATCGAACTGTTGAATAGGTTGCCCATTCTCGTCATATTGTATTTGACTATCGGGGTCATATTGTTGAATAGGTTGACCATTTTCGTCATACTGCTGTTGAAGAGATTGGCCGTTTTCATCGTACTGTTGAATAGGTTGACCATTTTCGTCATATTGTTGAATGGGTTGACCATTTTCGTCATATTGTATTGGACTATTGGGATCGTATTGTTGAATAGGTTTCCCGGTGTCGTCATACTGTTGTTGAATAGGTTGTTCTTGTTCATCCAATTGTTGAAGAGATTGGCCGTTTTCAAGGTACTGTTGAAAAGTTTGACCATTTTCGTTATATTGTTGAATAGGTTGACCATTTTCGTCATATTGTTGAATGGGTTGACCATTTTCGTCATACTGCTGTTGAAGAGATTGGCCGTTTTCATCGTACTGTTGAATAGGTTGACCATTTTTGTCATATTGTTGAATGGGTTGACCATTTTCGTCATAATGTATTGGACTATTGGGATCGAATTGTTGAATAGGTTTCCCGGTTTGGTCATACTGTTGTTGAATAGGTTGTCCATGTTCATCCAATTGATGAAGAGATTGGCCGTTTTCATCGTACTGTTGAATAGGTTGATCATTTTCGTTAAATTGGTGAATAGGTTGCCCATTCTCGTCGAATTGTATTTGACTGTTGGCGTCGTATTGTTGAATAGGTTGCCCGTTCTCGTCATACTGCTGTTGATAAGATTGGCCGTTTTCATCATACTGTTGAATAGGTTCTCCATTTTCGCCATATTGCATTGGACTATTGGGATCGTATTGTTGAATAGGTTTCCCGGTTTCGTCAAACTGTTGTTGAATAGGTTGTCCATGTTCATCCAATTGTTGAAGAGATTGGCCGTTTTCATCGTACTGTTGAATAGGTTGATCATTTTCGTCAAATTGTTGAATAGGTTGCCCATTCTCGTCGAATTGTATTTGACTGTTGATATCGTATTGTTCAATAGGTTGCCCGTTCTTGTCATACTGCTGTTGAATAGATTGGCCGTTTTCATCATACTGTTGAATAGTTCCATTTTTGCCATATTGTTGATTATTTGGGTGATATTGTTGAATAGGTTGTCCATTCTCGTCATACTGTTCTTGTCCATTTTTATTTAATTGTTGAATATTTTGTTGATTTTGGTTTAACTGTCGAATAGGTTGGTCATTTTCATCAACCCTTTCAATATATTGGCCATTCTCATCAACTTTTTTAATAGGTTGTCCATTTTCATGGTATTGATGTTTAGGATTATTTTGGTTATTTAGGTCATTGTGTTGAACAGGTTGTCCACTAGCTTTTTCAATATTTTCGTTATAATGTTGAATAGGTTGACCATTTTCAACCAATTTATTCCTGTCTTCATCTTTATGTGACTCTATAGGCTCATTATATTCCTGATATTGTTGAATAGGTTGTACATTTTCATCACAATAAATATTTGGATCAACGGGTTGTCCATTATCATCTATTTGTTGAATAGGTTGCCCGTTATCATCATAGTGCTGAACAGGATGTCCAGATTCATCGTATCGATGAAAAGGCTGTCCGTTTTCATTATAATGCTGTTCATATTGATCGTACTCTTGTTGAATAGGTTGAATGTTTTTAGTTGCAGGTTGCTGACTTTTGTTTTGTGGTAAAAGTTGCAATTTTTCATCAGGTTTAGTGACGAAGATTGGTTGTTGAATAGTATCTTGATTAGAGACAAGTTTTTGTTGAGTTTGATTTTTGGGTTGGGGTATATCTTTAATGTTTTCAGTAGGTTTAATAGCAGGATAAGGTTGTATATCATTATTTTCTTTATTTAAATTAATATTAGCAAGTTGTTCTGTTGGAAGGTTGTTTAGTATTTCCGGTTTTCCATTCAATTTAATATTTTCAACTTCCAGTAGGTTTGTTTTTGTATTTAAACTATATTTATCATTATTTTTATTACTTTGAACATCTTCTGAAAAATTATGCTTGGTTTTAGGATCTTTAAAATTATCGTGTTTTATATAATCTTCTGGGTTATCTGTTTTGACTGATTCTTTATATGCATCCATTTTATCATAATGTTCATGTTTGTTATAGTACCTCTGGTAAATAGAGTTCATGATATCATCTGCCGCAGAATTGGCATTATCAAAATCATATTTTCTATCATCAGTTTGTCTTAAAAGATCATTACATTTTTCGCTTGCCATGCTTTGTAAGTAGTTCTCCAAAATACCTTGTTTATCCTCTTTATCCCTATCAAGAACTTTCCTTATCAAAGGATGGTTATGTAGATTTTTGGGATCAGGAATATCGTATTTCTTTGTCGGCTCAGGATATTTTTCTTCAGTTATTCTGGGTTTTTCTGACATTGTAAGTTGACCATTACACATTCTTTGCATGTAGCTGTGGTATTGTCTTCTGAGTAAACTAACCCTGTTAGTTTTAGCGTTAAGCATTTCAAGCTTAGTGTCAATTCTTTCCAATCCTCGAAGTAATCTTTCGTTGCGTTCTTGGCGTTTTTTGTCTTCTTCTACGAAGCGTTTGTACTTAGAGCGGAGTTTTTTGTAATAAGCTTGTTCTCTGAAAAACATTGTAAAAGTTTTTTTGGAAAGGTATGATAAAAATATTTTCCTTACTCTTCTCTGGATAATTGCATAATCTCTTGAAATTTCATTTCTAAAATGAGGCGTTCCTCCTCGCTAAAACAAATAATAAAGACGATGATTTTTGTTTTAAAAAATATTGTAATAAATTAATATTTGCAATGATGTTAAAGTAAAGTTTGTTTATTAAATACCTACATACATGCACGACATAAGTAATAAAATATACAATTGCTGCTTTATTACAGACCTTTATTATGTTAAAGAGTTTTATAGGGTCGTAAAAAGGATAAAAACTTGTCGACAAAAAGAACAAAATTCATATTTAAGAAAATAATAAATGTTGATTATAATTATAATAGGTACAATCAATGGGCAAAGTTTAGCTTATACAAAGCATATATTTCACTGCTCTTCCACTAAACCTAATTTTGGCCTAAACCAATAAATGTTTTAAAAAATGCTAACTGAGAAATAAAAACGACCATATTATCATATTTTCGACTTATATGTTTTTATCAATCTAAAATTGGGTTTTTAACTTGTTTGACATTCAATAATATGTTTGGGGTTAATAGGGGAAATTGACCTGCCTTGCTCTTTGGGTAGCGTTTCGGTACAAATTAGTCAATTAATTCAAAACAAACGGAACACCAGCGCTCTCTTTTCTTAGGAAGATTCTTGTTTACATAAAGTTCGGACTCCTTGTATAGGCTCCATGACATCAGCATCCACAAAAACATTATGCGGAAAATGACAGAAGCAATGTACCAAGTACTAAAAGACCAGCAGGGTTAAGTCCAATCAGCGTACTAACCAACCAAGCAACCAATTGAATGGGGTTATTACTAAATCCCTGGTTGAGGGGGACTCCGGATTGTACTTAGTTTTGGGTCAGTTTAATGTCCCCCAAAAACCAAAATGTTTTTCCTCCTTGTCCCGCACTCCACTAGCCTAAATCGGGCGTATGGCTCGGCCCGGCGAGAAAATTTCGGGAATGGCCTTAACCATCGACACTGTCATCCACGACCTGCTAGGCAAGATTTACCAGCCGGTTTTTTTAAATAAATTTGCAAAAATGACAAATGACGCATTGAAAATTTTTAGAGTCTAAAATAATGCCCAAAATAAAAAGATTCCCTTTGGCAAATCAAGCCACTTAAAATGACTATTTTAAGGCAAAATAGTTTGTTATATATACTCTAAAATATAAACCTAATAGCTAGTAATCATCAAAATTTTGATGTAATTAAACCTATTTTTTCCACTCCCACCTTTAAAACGCATTAATACACGTTGACAAGCTGTGGCTTTATGGCGCTTTAATCACGGGCTGAAGTTAGTTTCTTGTAAAATAATACTAAATGTGAAAATTATTTTATTATCTCAATACAAAAATACAAAAGTATTAAATAGGTTCTTTACGCCAATATTTAAAAAGATTATATGAACGTTTTGATTTTACCGTAGTAGTGCAGTTTACTAGATTTAACTGATAAAGCGTTAAAAATTTTGCGTACAGAGGAATTCCAATAAATACAGCTGTCACTTTTTGTACCTTTAACATTTCCCGTGTAAGAATTTTTAATTCTTTGTGATAACATTTTGCAATTATATTAATACAAAAATCAATACCTATATTCTTTACATAATTATATTTTGAAGTTATTTTAATATTTTAAAGTAGCAATGATTGGGCCCAAATTAAATTAGAGATTAAAATGGCGTTTATCACACTTGATACATTGATCATTTTATAAATTTGAATAGGTTATAACGGTCAATTTCTACAATACAAACAAACCATTACTTATTACTAAAATAGACCAATAAAATAAAAAATAACCTACCTTTTTCTTAACTTTTCCTGCAATTCTATGAACTTTTGATAGTACTCTTCAGTTTTACTAAAACCAAACGACATTGTGGTTTCAGTAAACCAGACTCCAAGAAAATAAAACCAGAATTTATTCAATTGTTCCTTGTTTCGCCTGTAGCAGCTTCACATGCAACTATTTGTAAAGTTAAATATAACTGCATGCGCCAAACGATGGAAGCAGATAGAAAATCCAGCAAATGTTTACATATAAATACACCTAATTAAAAATCTCAATCAGCGCAAAATTTAATTGACACGAGTGCACCCTGTTTGACGTGTTGCACTTTACAATTTAAGTATACTTTTGCGTGTTTTGCGAAATTACTGTTTGGTTTCCGGCGATTTCCGATTTCTGAATTAATTTTCTAATAAGTAGTTACACCAACCATTGTTTGATGTAATTGCGATTATCGATCATTTTTTGGGTCTGCAACGGTTTACACTGTGACATACATGTTTTGAATGGTACGACGCTCCAACAATGTTTTGTTTGTTGTTTATGGGTGGTGGTATTATGGGTTGTTGAAAATCATGGGCAGGGGCGTGCGGAAAATGTGTTTTAAATAAGGCTATTATTTAAAAACTAAAATTAAAATTGTCTTAAAAAAAATAAAAATTTCTTTAAAAAATATTTAAAATAATAAAATTAACGTCCGACGAAAGGGAAAAGTATCGATTTCATTTTCTGCCTCGGTATTCTTTCGATACGTTTTGAGTTGGTTGCCAAACAACAAAACAATTTGGAGAAATTATAAAAAAAAAATTGAAAAAAAAAACAGTAAATTACAGAAAAAACTATGCCGCGCTATATATAGTGTGCTTATTATGATATACGAATAGAAAACAAATATTAGTTTTTCAAAAGGTAATTTTTAAGTTACCTATTTAAGTTTAAAAAACGCTGTGCATTTCCCAAGTCGTTATATAAATAAAACATCTAAAAAGGGTTGTCATGGAAACAAAATAAACAACGAATATGTTGACAGATCGACACCTATTTAAGTTTAAAAAACGCTGTGCATTTCCCAAGTCGTTATATAAATAAAACATCTAAAAAGGGTTGTCATGGAAACAAAATAAACAACGAATATGTTGACAGATCGACAGATGTATGTGTTAAAGTTTAAAATATCAAGAAATATAAAATTATCATAACTTTGTTAACAAATTTTACCTTTTATTCCTTATACCTTTTATTTTTGAAACGTCAAAAATTGTTTTCTATACTATCCTATATAAATAAATAGTATTTAAACGTTAAAATAACAAAAAAAAAAAGATTCAATTTTTGAACCCTATTGTTAACTCTAAAACGTTTTTGTTATTTTATTATAGTTAAAATAACCCTTTAGCATGGCATACTGGTAGTGAGCCATTTTCGGGGCACTCTGTATACAAAAATTTAACATTTATAGAGTTATGGTGATGTATTAATTTCTTTACACAAACTGTCAACCATGTTAATCACATAAAGCGAAAACAAAAAATATTCAAAAAGTAACAATAAAGAGAAATAAATAATAATACAAAAATATTATAATATAATAATAATAAAGACATTTAAAAAAAAAATGAAAATATACAAAAATAACACTGTACGATACTTGTAAAAACGGTGAATGCGCCGGGTTTAAATGTGCTAATTTAAAGCAATTATTTTTATAAAAATAATGATGATTGGGGAGACACCGGTGTAAAAATGTTTATTAAGATTATTTCATTTATAATTACCATTACCATTCAACATTTTATACCTATATATGGGGCATTCCACGCCAAATCGGATGGTTTCACATTTTTTTTATTCCTCCATTTGTTTTATATTTTTCCTTAATCCTTGAAAGGGCTTTCTCAGTAAATTTATGATTTTTTTGATCACGGGTTGAAAAGATATGAAATTTTCAAAAATTTCGCTCATAACTTCTTAAAGAAGGGTCCAAATCAAAATGTTCATTCTATATAAAATTTTCGTTATTAAATGTACTTTTCGAAAAATATATATTGAAAATATTTTAAGCGTTTTTTTCGATTTTTTTTTTTAATTTTGAAAAATCGAAAAAGAATAGTAATTATGGAAGGCCCACTACCGGACCAGGCTGAATAGTTGTTGAATAGATAGAAGTTGAAAATAAAAATTTTTCGCGAAAATCGAAGAAGACACACATTTTTAAAAACACGATTTAAACTTTAAAACTCAAAAATCTTGACTTAAAACGCTTAAAATATTTTCAATATATTTTTTTTCGAAAAGTACATTTAAAAACAAAAATTTTATATACAATGAACATTTGATTTGGACCATTTACTATGTACTAAAAATATAAAAAAATTGGAGGAATCAATCAATATATTATATTATTATTATGTTTATGCCTAAAAGTAAAAGTAAAAATTATTTTTAATTTTTTAAAAAGTAGTAATCTTTATTGAACAATAATTATTATCTCCTAAAATAAAGATTTTAGATGGTGTTCTATTTACAAGTAAAGTGCACTGCAGTACAGTCATTTAGAAAAAATCGAAATTTGCAAATGCACCAATTTATAAAGTAACATTTTTAAAATTAGAAATAACATAAAAATTAAGGTAATTTTATAAAAAAATACATCAAAATTTCAACAGTTACAAAATATTATTTTCAACCTATACAACTGTCTACTACAAGATTTAACATGATACGTAAGCGTACACCCATGTCGGCTTATAATTCTAATCCCTATCGCAAATATACCTAAATACAACAAAATGATAACAAGGACGCACGCGATTTCGGTACCAGGATAACGAGGACACTAAACTTGACCTTATCCTATAAATTCACCTATAAATTCAGTCCTATAACTATTTTATTTATACAGACAGCCTTATACATACAGTGTGCCCATTTTTCGAGGCTAAGCATCCATTCGGCAGTTTATCTCGGCAGTTTTAAAAGATTTTAGCAAAAATAATAAATTTGAGTTTTTTACGATATCTTAAAAACTAAAAATAATAAGGAAAAAACGGACACCCTGTATATAACAATCCGCAATAACCGCAAGTCCAAAAATAAAACCTAAAATAGAATTTTAAATAACATGACCTCGTAGATGCCTATTATCAACCATTAAAAAAACTATAGGCTAAATGTAGCAAAGTATTCCTCAAGGTTATGACGATTAGCTGTCATTTTGGTTATGCAGGTACACTGCATTGTGCCATACCAAACCAACCCAAACTTAACAACCCAACCCAACCGACCCCGCCCCATTGAGCAATAGAGGTATAATATATCTAAGGACAGGCTGAATTGTGACAATGGGTCGGGGGGGGGGGGGGGCAATGGAGCGGGGTCGGTTGGGTTGTTAAGTTTGGGTTGGTTTGGTATGGCACAATGCAGTGTACCTGCATAACCAAGATGACAGCTAATCGTCATAACCTTGCTACATTTAGCCTCTAGTTAAAAAAATACTGTAAAATCAACATAACCTTACTTTTATAATCTATGCTTTTACATGGAGACACCCCAAAAGAGGGGGCCAGATTACAAAAATCATACATAATATAAAATAGCCATAGAACATAGCCTGTGCAGCCAGTGTTTTATGGCTACAGGATGAAAATGTATCCACCCAACCCATAGAAGCTTCTATGATGATATTTTTTTTTACAATGGTGATATTTTTGATGGTGATATAAATAACAAGTTAAAACTAGAATAGAATATATTCTAGTTCTAGTAGGTTATTCTGTAGAATAACCTACCATCCATAGGTACTTTTTGTTATAATTTAATTAAATTGTTAATTAATTTTAATAATAAATATTTATTTAATATAATTAATAATAAATACATTTATCCTGTTCCATTCTGCGCGTAGTGAATTTACAGAGCTGTTTTACTTTATGATCTGTGATTAGATTATCCATATACAGGGTGTTTCTTTTAACTTGAGACAGCTCAATATCTCGAGAAATACGCATTTCACGAAAAAATTTCTTTAATAAAAGGTTAATGTGACCAAAGGGGACATTATTTGGTGCTACCGCTAGCCACCCCCCTACCCCTCCTTAAGGGTGAAACGGGGAACTTTGGAAAATCAAATGGGATGACCCGATTTTTTTCACAGATTTTGGTAGTACATAAAAAATGAATAACTTTTATTTGAAACTTTTTTTCAATTTATCAACAGATGGCGCTGTAATTCAAAATTTAAGAAAAAGGGGTTTCCTTGTAAAATGTATTATTTGAAACGTTTGAAAAACAAAAATTAACATGAAATCAACAAAAGTCGGCTCTGAAAACAATTTATAACAAATGTTCGAAATGTCTTCCTTCCATTTCGTCACCAGGGTCCCTGGTCGGTAAACGCATTAAATGGCGAAAAGTACTGAATTTTCTAGAAAACGATCTGACGGACCTTTTGGAGGATGTACCACTAGCACGGCTCCAAAGCATGTGGTACCTGCAAGATGGTTGTCCTGCGCATTATTCGGCAATTGCTTGAGAGGTGTTGGATCGGGAGGCCGGTGGATCGGTAGACGTGGTCCAGTAAGTTGGCCTGCTCAATCACCTGATCTTACGCCACCAGACTTCTTCAGTGGAGTTACTTGAAGAGAAAAAGTTTACGCTGCAATTCCTACAACTCGGGAGGACATGGTGGAGCGGATCAGGAACGCCTATGCGGCAAAACCGCCCGACATGTTGGCTCGTTGTGTGCCAGAATTCATTACCCGCATTCAAAAATGTGTCGAAATGGAAGGACGACATAACATTTGTTATAAATTGTTTTCAGAGCTGACTATTGTTGTATTAATGTTAATTTTTGTTTTTCAAACGTTTCAAATAATACATTTTACAAGGAAACTCATTTTTCTTAAATTTTGAATTACAGCGCCATCTGTTGAAAAATTGAAAAAGTTTTAAATAAAAGTTATTCATTTTTTTATGTACTACCAAACTCTGTGAAAAAAATCGGGGTCATTCCATTTGACTCCAAAGTTACCCCCCATTTCACCCTTAAGAAGGGGTAGGGGGTGGCTAGCGGTAGCACCAAATAATGTCCCCTTTGGTCACATTAACCTTTTATTTAAGACATTTTTCCGTGAAATGCGTATTTTTCGAGATATTGAGCTGTCTCAAGTTAAAAGAAACACCCTGTACATGACTGCAGTCAATTCACAGAACAAGTAAATTGACGTTTTTTTTATTATTTTTTGAAAAATGGTAATTTTTGACGACTTTGAAGAGCTGTATTTTCGTTACGCTTCGTTTGATTTGTAAATTTTCAGGGTTTATTAACAAACATACGGTCTTATACAGGATATTGTAGCAAGTACCCCTCTGGATCTAGGAATGATGACTCATGATGAGTCATCGCCAGTGAGTTAGCGCTCGAGCGATCAAGAGCGGTGCGGAGCTCGCTAATATTCGGGAAGGTGCTTGCGTGACTTGGGTCACGTAAGCATTGAATATATAAGGCACAGCAAAGCGTCGTAGTCAGTCAAGCTTTGGTACTCGCGACGAAATAAATTAAATTTACATACAAATATAATTGTCAAACTGGCTATTTATACGTCCGACGTATACAAAATTTGGTATACGTCTTGTGCTTTCATTGGCTAGTTTGAAAAAGTTAATCTAAGCTATAAACTTCAAAATGAAAATTGTCAGATATTCAAACTGCTGAATTTTATAATAATAACGTTAAAAATATATAAAAATGAAGTAATTTACAAAAATTATGTAAGCAAAATTAAGTATTTGATAAATAACTATAAAAATGGCTAAATATGAGGCAAAAACTTCTACAAAATAGGCCTCTATTCCTCTATGGGGCGGGGTCGGTTGGGTTGGGTTGTTGAGTTTGGGTTGGTTTGGGTTGGTTTCGCTCACTTTTGCCCATTTAAGTTGATTGACAGTGAGCGAAACCCGAGGGGGTAGTCACTGTGGAAATCTTCTGT